ATACACATGGCACATAACTCACTCACGATTGGACTCATCAAGATACTCTAGTCAAAGCAAGCAAAGTTAAGATCATACGATTTAAGGTACTTATACCAGAGTCAAAAACTGAGCCTAAGCGTCACAACCAAAGTACTCACTATTCTCAAGGCATAACAAACTCAAGAGATATTGCTCCAATTTAATTTATCTCACAGTGGCTCCTACTCCTAAAAAAATAAAACTAACTACACCTGGTTCAAACAAAACCCTTGGAAAAGAACCTAGACACAATAAAATAATCAAGGGGGAATTATTACACTACCTAACAAAAAAAAATCTTTTTATCTTTTTTCTTTCAACTTATATCCCTCAAGACACTTGTCGAATGCGATCCATCGTTGGGAGAAGTCCAAAATTTTATAATTTTTTTTTTTACTACACTAAGAACGAGTACTACAACTAAGCTAAGATAGCACAAAAAAATACCCAGACAATCTCCTCACCCCACACTTAAAATTGTGCAATGTCCTCAATGCACACTATAAATAACAAGAGGGAAAAAGAGACTCCCTGGTAGGCCAAAGGCTGAAGAATTAGCAGCTCACGGGATACCCAGACTTCTCCCATGTATTATGCTTTGTGTGGGCACCCCACACTTAGTTCTCACCCTCAAGCTCACTTTTGCACTCTTCCAATGGCTTTGCCTCCTATGCTCATAATCCTCCAAAACAAAAACAAATACTGCAACAATAATAAGAAAAAAATAGAAATAAACGAAAGCAGTAAAGATGGGTTGCCTCCCAACAAGTGCCTGAATTAACGTCGCGGCACGACGCCATCACTTTCACCACTTTTCCTTCCACTTTGAGGATATAAATTGTGCCCCAAATTTTGCATCAATTTTTCTATCACATTCCTGGGATGGTGGTGTAAAAATAAAGGAACCAAGCAATAGGTATCGCATCTTGCACTTCTTGGCCTTTAAGTGCGGGATGTCGTTTTGTCTCATTGGTATGACAAGTTTCAGTATATAAATACTTTGTTCCCCATTCATTGACTCCTCTATATACTCGAATGGATCAATTCTCGTGTCACCAACTAAGCACAATATTAAAAAATGGTTAGAATGAGGTCCAATGCGGTCCAACTCTAGAATTACTTCACTTTTGACATCCTCGCTTTTGCACACTTAGTCAACCTGGGCATTATTAAATATATTTTGGTCGAATAGTTAGAATTCCTCTTTCCGCTCCACAAGTTGGCCAGTATCCACAAATATAGGTTATAGGGCATCAGACGGCTCAAACGTTTTATTCAATTAATCCTACAAGTAATGGATATCTGAGCCAAATTGGTCTACCTCTTGCCTGAGCTCATTTCTTTTGTGTATCAGCTATTCTGCCATATTTGACAAACCATTATGTAGAACCCCATGAAATTTTACCAGTTGACCTTGTTCCTCCAGCCAAGATTGGCTCATGATATCTTCTTCTTCAAAGTTATCTTCTTGTGGGAACACGCTCTCTTCGTCGAGTTGAGGTTCTTCTTGGAAATTGGCCATTAATTCATCCATTCTAGCCTGAAGTCTTTTGATCGCTAAGGCATCAAGAACTTGTTGCTCGGTTACTTGACTTATCATGTCCATAATAGCTTTTTAATTTTCATCTTGTTGCTCGGCTACTTGCCTCATTATGTCCATAATACGAGCATCGCGTTCCATATCCTCCACTTCATTGCTCCTATCAAACTCATAAACATTATTTGAAATATTATAATAAGAGCTCTGAGGATAACAAGAATTAGGACAACCATACCAATGGCCACCTTGACAACCACACACATTACAAAAATTCCACACATAAGATTGAGATGCACAATTTTGCCACAAGTGTAGTCCTCCATAATATGGACAAGGATCACCATAATAAGAATAACCAATATTCGACCAATTATCATTCCAAGATGCCATATCAACAAAGATAGTAGATATTAAACTAAGATAAAAATTTAAAAACTTGAATAGACAAAGAGTAAAAATCTAATCTAGTAGACTAGTTAATTTCTAAGTCCCCGGCAACGGCGCCAAAAACTTGTTGCTCCAAAACGCACACGCAAGTATACGTGGTCGTACAAGTAATATATAATTGTAAGTCCAGATATCGTACCCACATGGACTTGTGATTAACTATCAACTAAATTAAATCAAGCAATTAATCTATTCAAGTGAATCCTAACGTATGAATATTTAACTAAAATTAATCTAGAGTAACAAATTAAGAGATTAAAGAAAACAACGACAAGCTTAAAGACGAATTCAATATGAGTAAATATTCTAGAGCTACGGGTTAGCTAACAATCTCATTGAGCTTTTCACTTAAATCGTCTAATTAATGTATCAGGTTTATTGGTTGACAAGGTTAATATTGCTCGTAGCCTTCTCCCGAAGTACTACTCGCCTATTCAAGCTAATATAACGCCTATATTCCTATGGAATTAGAATTAACAAGAACGCATTAATAATTTCTGTATAGTAACCAAGCAAGGCGATTAGGTATATTCCTATCCTAACCGCAAATTCGTCCCCCTCAGAGTTAAGATCTTGCTCTACTCAATTTTATATGCAATCTAGAATTCCCTCTCCCGAGTTCAATCCTAGATTCGTAGATAGTATTCAATTGGTGATCAAACAATCAAATAATTAAGCGCAAAATTGAATAAATAAACCAATATGATAAAATAGTAATAACAAATTAAACTTTAAACTACAACGTTCATGTAGCACCCAACAACTCTAGAACTAATAAACTATGCGATTAAAGGAAGAGAAGAGAAGAAAAACTAGTTGAAAGCCTCCTCCAAGCGTGGTGTGTGTTCCTCCACGTGAATTCTTGCTTCCGGTCGCAAAACTCCTCTAAAAATAGTGTTTAATGACTATTTATATGTGTAGGGAAAAAGCCTAGACGAAATAACCAAGTCCAAAACCAAAAAAGAGATAAAATAGGCTTTAAAACTCGGAACACCCTCGCTACCGACCGTGCGGCACGAGCTCTACCGCCCAGTGAACCTCGTTGTAAGCCTCGCGGCGCGAGCTATGTTGCGCGCTCCACCTCGCTACAACCCTGGCAACACGAGCTCTATCGTGAGAAAAATCCCTCGCTTCGCCTGCTCTAACGCAAGCTTGTTGACTCGCTACGCCTGATGCTTCTCCGCTTCAATTCAATTTTGAGGTCTTTTGTTAGTGCTAGTTGCCTAACACTCTCATTTCTTTCCTTTGCTTTCCAATTTCATCTCACGTCAATTTGCACACATTATCCTCTAACAATTTTGTCTTCAATCATTATCTAATCATGATATCATAATATTTTTCATCATCAAATAATCACAAGTCATTCTTGTAGTGCATAAAATACACATAAAATTTTTACTTTGCTCCCACTTTCGTCTTCAACGTACCTACACATAAAATAAACTCAATTAAGCACAAATATAGTATAGTTTAGCATTAACGCACCTAAAATGTAAGGTAAGTAATGCATTAAAAATATGTAATTATAGCCAAACATCACGTATAAAGTACAATATCCAGGGCGATGAACATGTACCACGTCCCCACCAGTCAGGATCAGTTCGACATGATTTGGAAGGCCGAACTTGGCCTTAAGTTCTGCCAATTCTTTAGACGTCATCGTCGATAAGAAATTCCTGGGTGCAGCGTCCGGTGATCGGGTGAGGTCAGACCTAACGTCAGGATTGCAGGGGATTATTTCATCCACTTACGAGAATACTTCATCCTCAACAATGGAAGAAACACCATCCCCATAGGAAGGAAACACAATTGCCAAGGGAGCAACGTGACCCCTTCGCCAACGTTTGGGGTAAGTTGGACATGATGCAAAGTAATAAAGAAGAATAACAAACGAGAAACAAAACGAGGAAAGGAAGTTCAAAGAAGAAAAATGCAGAGATGGAGGTTTGTGCTCTGAAAAGTTAGAGGAAACAAACTTCAAATTCAAGTTCAAGAACCTCTATTTATAGAGATCATGGTGCTAAAATCGAAAATGGCTCGTCATAATTGGCAACGTAATCTAAACGGCAGATCCAATCAAGGTTCATGCACGAATCGAAGCAACGTATCGGGAATATGCGTCATAATGATGCATGATGTCGTGACATCAATCTAACCCTTGGACAGGATAACTCCAACAAATCACCCGGGAAACCTGAGGTATTTGAAATATGCGCCCACCGAGGGCCACATTGCCTGTTCGACACCACGTTTATGACTCTTGCAGCTTACTCGATAAGTCGAACGAAAATGAAATTATCCACTCATTAAGCTTACCTGTGAGGACGACCTCAATAAGCTGAGGGACTAACTGTATGGGTCAAAAATTATCTCCAATATGACCAAACCATGTTAACATTAAGGAGGCACTCACAGACTGTCACGTGTCATCAGTACGACCTAAATAAAGACCTGCCCAAGGTCGAAGTGGTCCCTGAAGAGATGAATGGTGCGGTCGAAGAGTCAGCGAAGATCAAGGTCGAGAAGTCGTCATAGATTAAGGTCGAGGTCGAGCATCCTGAACAGATTTATAACGGCTAGTTTTAGGATATGAGACAAAAGACGCTACAAGAAAATGCTTATTTTTTGGGGGGTTATTTTGATAATTTGTGACGGTTTCTGACCCCCACAAAATGAATTGTGGCGGTTTTTAAAAATGCCACAGTTACGATTGCCACGAGTAATATTGTGATATTTTTTGAAACTCCCACGATAACCCCCACAAATTAAATTTTAAATTTGTNTATATATATATATATATTTGGGGACTTGTAACCCCGTAATATGATCTCATTTGTTTTTAAAAAAAAAGCAGATTGTAGCATTATTCCATTACAAAAAACTCATAATAGCAAACATCATAAATTCATCAAACTAAATTAATACTAACTCTTGCAAGGTACTCAAAATTTATTATGCAAAACACCAATTCTGCTCATACAAAGGGGTACATTACAAATAATTGAAATATAAGAGAATGTTGCTACTGCATTGTTAAACAAGCATACGAAAACGCATAGAATATATTCATGTACCTGTACTGCTAGCTTTATTTTTGGAATATGTTCCCTATAAATAGAAAAAGACACAATGATGAGGGTATTCACCTGCACGAAAAACGTATTGACTTTATAGAGAGAATCTGGGCATATTACAAGCATACGAAAATAACTTTTTCACTAAGATTCGTGTCTAACTTTTCCACTTGATCCGAGAACAACCTAAATGCTCAAAGGCTCATCAATCATTCATTATTGTCAGAAAAAATATCCATTAGATCTCGCCCTTTTCGGGTGATTCACATATTTTTATTTACTTAAATGTCGTTCATTTCTACTTATTATTTTTTAATGCTATCTTCCAACTTTTTGGATCATTGAACACTTGAACACTGTTATTATTACTTACATTTATTGCCATTCAATCAAATATACATACTATCTGTCATAAAATCGATAACCTTATCTTTTAATTATTAATATTAGCTAAAATTGACTTTGTTTTATATAAATCTAATTGGTAGATCTAAGTTTTTGGGTCAAACACTAACCGAATTGACACAGATGCTAAAGTCTCTGACGTGTTGTTGGATTGAGCATGAGATTTTTCTTTTGTCGTTTATTTTCTTAACCTATCTGACATAAATAATATTTTATCCCTATTTATTTCTGACCATGTTCTATTTGCCGATACGGTTACTTGGATTAGAACAAGTAATGAAAATTTTAGTACTAAATCGGCAATATATATTATACCTGTGATGATGCTACTACTCCAGTTGATAGGAGATGAACTAATATATGGAAACTTCGCCTTCCTGAGAAACTAAAATATTTCATATGACTTGTAAGACATAATAAACGACTTATAATGTCCAATAAGCTTAAATTCACCAGGAAGATAATCGACTCACCAAAAAATGAGAACAATCATGTGATGATGATGTAGAGGACTCTTCACATATTCGAACATGTCCAAAGTTTAAATTAAGAGATAGAAGTGAAAATAGATGGTCTGTTTGCTGTCAAGCTTATCAAAGAAGACGACATACAGGATCATCCTCTTCGAATTTTTATTGAAGATTGCAGATACTTGCTACAAGTCAACGACGCGAATTAGTCACATCTGTGGCATGGATTTTTGGCAAATGAAGGTCACAAACATAAAGAAAACTTGCTAGTATGGCAAGAGAGGCGTTCAACGAAATGAATTTCTTTTTCCCAGTGCTTATGAAAGATTTTAATATTTTTTAGTATTTTCCAGTGTACCAAAAATAAATCCACTCACTCCCCTGACCCACACATACCCCACAGACCTCAACCATCCCTACCCCTTGCTTCCATCAATTAGCTCAACGAAGAAAACATTAATGAAAATGCAGAGATTTGAATGTGGGTGACGAGTGCACATAAGTCATCCTTGAATTAATTGAGGATAAATTGTCGGTCAACATGAAGCATAAAAAAATTGTTGATCAAGAAACATTGCATCTCCTGGTCATTAAAACACTATAAAGAAAACAAAAATTCAAGAATCAAAACCCACCCCATAAATTTCCTTTCCTTTAAACATAGTGAAGTAATAATCCAGACAACTTAATTATTGAGATGGCAGAAGTGAAGTTGCTTGGTGTTTCACTCAGCCCTTTTAGTTGCAGAGTTGAATGGGCTCTGAAGATTAAAGGAGTGGAATATGAATTTATAGAAGAAGACCTACAAAACAAGAGCCCTCTGCTTCTTCAATCCAATCCTGTTCACCAAAAAATACCAGTGCTAATTCACAATGGAAAACCCATTTCTGAGTCTATGGTCATTGTTGAATACATTGATGAAACATTTGAAGGCCCTTCTATTTTGCCTAAAGACCCTTATGAACGAGCGATGGCACGTTTCTGGGCTAATTTTCTTGATGTTAAGGTAAGGTTGAATTTGCTTTTGCTCAAATTGACTTGTCCTTTTTCTTTTAAGGATCCATTTTAAATTATTTATTAATTTGAGCCTCGCTATGTCAATCGTTTTTTAATTTATCTTGCTCTTGCCTTCTTTCAATTGAAATTCATGGTCACGTTGTTAGGGGTGGCAAAGGGGCAGGTTGAATCAAATTTGGGCTAGTTAAAACATGTCAAGTTAAAAGATAGCTTGGACTAGTAAATTGATATAATCTTCAATCTCAATTTTTGAGTTTGTAAAATGAGTCTTAATCCAACCAGTTTAAGGTTGGACGATTTGGGCGAATTACGAATAAATGGATTAGTTTTGACCCTGTTGTCCGCAAGTCATGCAATATATACCTATCTGCAGAATATATTTTGATAAAAGTAGAAATGTTTGGAACTCAAGATTTGAGTTTTTTGCAGTGCTTGACTACAACTGGGAAAGCTTATTTTGGCAAAGGAGAGGAGTCAGACAAAGCTAAAGAGGAATGTGGTGAGTTGCTGAAGATTCTTGATAATGAGCTCAAGGACAAAAAGTTCTTTGTGGGAGACAGCTTTGGGTTTGCTGATATAGCTGCTAATTTGATAGCATTTTGGCTTGGAATTGTTGAAGAAGCCTCTGGAGTAATTTTGGTGACAAGGGAAAAATTCCCCAATTTTTGTGCTTGGAAAGATGAGTATATTAACTGCAGCCAAGTTAAAGAATATTTCCCTTCAAGGGATGCGTTACTTGCCCATTTCCAAGCTCGCTTTCAAGCTGCGGCAGCCGTATCAGCTCCCTAATGAAACCACTTCTTTATTTGTGAATTATCATGATTTTTGCAATAAAACTACCTATTAAAGAAAACTAGCTTAGCCTGCTTTTCACAGAGTAGGTAGTATCTTGTGTATTTGTTTTGCTGCTTTGTCAGTGGTTGTATGTTATTGTAATTTCTTCCAGCTACTACATGATAAGAGTCATGTTTTTATCTTCTTCGCCTTAAACTAGTGGAGTTTGAAACAAAAGATTTTTAGGGGTTGTTCACAACAGATTTTCGTATTATGGAAAATAAACCGCAACAAAAAATATGAAGAAAATAAATTTTATTGATAAATATTTGTGAGTACAATTTTGTTTATCCCTTGATTCTCCTCTCTGAAATTCTCTGTGATTCGAGGGTTTGAGATGCGTCTTTCTCGAATATAGGACGATGCAGACCTCCTTGTGGTGTATTTAATCGCCAAGAACGTTGAGCAGCACTTCGTTGTTTCGGGTTGATCTTCGGAAAGAACTCCGTTGACCACTCTTTCGTTGAAGAACTATGCACTTGATGATTGATCTTTTTGTTTGTGGATGCCTTCACCAATTGCGGAAGCTCTTCTCCAACTCTGAATGTCCTTAGAGAGTTATGTAACCCCTCCATTTTTAATAGTAGAGGATGGACAGTTCAGCTACATATGAACTCTATTGCTTGATTCTGATTGGCTCATGTAAGTTATCAAACTTATCACATAAGCTATGTGACAAGCTTGCTTGCGATTGGCCAAAACATATCATTTTAGATATTTGGCAACTCTTGATTGGTCACTATTTTAGACTGGGATTGCCACATCATTTCACACATGGCGTCATCTTGTTGGCTTTGAATTTGACTGGATATGCTATGTCACCTGACACATGGCATGAGTCTGGGCCTTAAAATAAAATAGACATTGGGCTTGAAAATAATAAAATGGACTAATTTAATTTGTAAAGTCCAAATTAATTATTTTACTTAAATAAAATTAAGATTCAATCCAAATTTTATATTGATTAAACTAAATAAATTTTATATGTCTACAGATACCACTGTTTCAAGTCTTGTCGAAGTGTAAACTTCATGAGCCTTAGTGACGAGGCTTGAAGTACCGATGAAGACAACAATATTTTTGTCACCTAACAAAAACACTTGCTCATGCACTTTGGTTGAGCATTAGGTGGAACCACATAATCATAGTGACAAGTAGATCCTAGTCAAATAACGGGTATCCCACACTTGTGTGGCATCTTTAATTTGGAGACAAAGGGTGTGTTTGGTATGAAAGAAAATGTTTTCCTAAAAAATAATTTTTTGGAAATGAGTGGTTTTATCACTTATTTTCCCTAGTTTGGTTGGTGAATGGAAAAAGTTTTTCGAAAAATATTTTCTAGTGTTTGGTTAGAGAGTATAAAATATTTTTAGCACACAAGAACAACGTTAAAATTTAAACTCGATAACTAAAAAGAAAACACTTTATTTTGTTGAAAAAGAAAGTATCTTTTCTACAACATGAAAAAAAATTACTTATTTTGTTGAATGAAAAAAAATACTTTTTCTATATCATGAAAAGAAAATACTCAGTTTGTTGAAATAAGAAAATATTTTTTCTACATCATGAAAAGAAATTACTTATTTTGTTGAAATGAGAAAATATTCTTTCTACATCATGAAAAGAAATTACTCATTTTGTTGAATGAAAGAAAATATTTTTTTATGTCGTAAAAAAATATATACTCAGTTTGTTGAAATGAGAAAATATTTTTTCTATATCATGAAAAGAAAATACTCTTTTTGTTAAAATGAAAAAAACTATTTTTTCTACATCATGAAAAGAAAGTACTCGTTTTGTTGGAAAAAATACTTTTTTCATTTCAGGAAAAGAATATACTTAGTTTGTTGAAATGAAAGAAACTAGTTTTTCTACATCATAAAAAAAAGTACTCGTTTGGTTGAAATGAAAGAAACTACTTTTTTCACATCATGAAAAAAAGTGCTTGTTCTGTTGAAATGAAAGAAAATACTTTTACTACATCATGAAAAAAATATTCTCATTTTGTTGAAATAAAAAAAAGTACTCTATCTACAACATGAAAATAAAGTACTCTTAATAATAGTTCTATTTAGGGCGGGTGGTGGGCGAGGTTGGGATGGGTAGAGTATGGTTGGGGTAGTGGGTAGGGGATTGGGGTGGGTTGGTGGCATGGGGAATAGGGTGTAGAAGGTTGAAAAGGAGTTTTGGAAAACGTTTTCTCTCCTTTTGATAGGGAAAATATTTTTCTCTAATGGGAGGAAAATAAGTTGATGAGAAAAATATTTTTCAAAATATTTAATCCAACTAAACATGAAAAAATTAGAAAACATTCGAAAAATATTTTAATTCGTACCAAACACACCCAAAGTTGGTAGCTTTTCTTTGTCAGGCTTGAACTTAGTCAACGTGAATCAACTTCACAACATGTAAAGATATGCCACGTAGGACAATATAAGGCCATCACCAGATTTGATAATAAGCTTAACACACTTGAGTTATGACTCCAATCAAATCTTTCTAATTTGAGTGCACTACTAGCCTTACTAAAATTAATTCACCCATCACAGTGTTTTATTGAATTCAAATACGGCTCAGAATCCTTTTCTTTACAGAATAAGAGACTTTGTAATCAACTAGGAATTCTCTTTTTATTTAACGGGGAAGTCCTGTATACCAAGTAAGACACCACTGTCTCATGAGCTCTATAAAAAGACGAGCTGGACCTCAGACACATAAGAGCACAAACTTGCAACTCGAGAAGTTCGGCTAACCATTGCAGAAGATACACAAACCTCTTCCCATTTGTAATTCATTTCTCTCGCATCTCTTTTTTTAATATTCCTTCTCACGGTTTCTTTTTTTTCTTTTTCAGGAATTGACATCAGCCAAAAGGGAAGTTCGAATCTGCAAACCTTCAGCAATTTAGATGGTTGCTTTGATATCAAACTGATATGAGTCGATCTAGTTAGATTTCCAGATTAGCTATTTTAGTTGCCAAGTCAAATTTTAGTTGAAGCCGATTTGTATTTTAGTTGAAGATTTAATCATTGTATTAGTTGTTAATTAAGGTCACGTGCATCATGTGACTTCTGGTACAACTGTGAAGGAGTTAGTTATAACTAACTTACGAAATCTTTTTCTCTTTTGAATTGCTCGTGTATACATTGCAGTGGATTTAGTTGTACAATTCATTCGAACATTTTAATCAATAAGAATCCCTCTCATCTCTTCTTTTATTCTTCTTCATCCTCAAGATCAACTGTTCATGAGCAATTCCGCACATTTGCTTCTTAGGTTTTGCGTATTCTCCTTCTAATTATGTATAGTGCGTATCATTAGTATCAGAGTAGTGCTCCTCCGACCTGTTACCATGGGTGATCACATCATTCGTATGCAAGAGTTACAAAGAGAACTTGATTCTTTGAAGGTATCGATGGAAGGTGTGGTTGGTTCTATCGCAAATCTGCAACAAGCAGTAGATGCAAAGGTGGCACAAGCGATTGAGGAAATTAAGAAATTAATTACGGAAAATTTGAACCCTCAAATGGTTCAAAACCTTCATGTTAATGGAGAAAACCATGTGGATAATAATGTTGTTTCTGTGGAGAATGGGTACAGATTTAATAACCTAGCTAGTCACTTTCAAATAACAACTCAAAACTACCAGGTGGACTTCCCAAAATTTGATGGTTATGGGTTGAAGGATTGGCTCTACTGTTGTGAGCATTGCTTTGATGTGGATGAAACACTTGAGGATGCTAAGGTGAAATTGGCTTCCTGCAAACTAGAAGGAAAGGCCTTACAATGGCATCAATCATACATGAAGCACAGGGTCGCAGGGGAATGGCCAAGATGGGGTAAATATATCAGAAGTTTGTATGCGAGATTTGGGCCAGAAGTGTTCGATGACCCAATGGGTGATTTCAAGGAACTTCACCAGGTAACTACTGTCCAAGATTATATAGATGCTTTTGATGAATTACTCACAAGGTATATCATTTTGAAGATTATGTTGTGAGTTGTTTTATGACGGGGCTTAAACCAGATATTGGGTTAACTATCAAAATGATAGGCCCTAGATCTTTAGCTAAGACTGTAAACTTAGCTATAATTCAAGAACAAACTCTAATGGTCCAGAAACAATGTTTTTCTAACCCTTCCCCTCAGAATCCCAGAACTAAGAACAAGTTTGGTCCTCATGTTCCTACTTTTTCCTATGGACCTACCCAGCCTGCTAAACAACCCCAATATTACCCAAGATCCCAAAGCACCACCCATAGCAACCCCATGTTCAAACTAAATAGCAACCTAAATGTTAAACCAAACTTTAAACATGCTACACTACTAACACCTGCTGAAATTTGATGAAATAAGGAGTAAAATATTATGTTTCAACTGTGATGAGAAATACACCTATGGTCATGTTTGTAAGAATAGAAGGCAACTATTTTATATGGAAGTAGAGGAAGGATGTGAAGAAATAATGGAGTTAGAGGATGATGATGTAGTACTAGAACTTGCTGAAATCTTAACAATGATTGGCCAAAGATTTGAGACTGATGATGAAGGCTCCATTCTGCCTCATGTCTGAGGTCATGCTATGAATGGCTTGGATGACTTTAGATGAATAAGAATCACAGTATCTGTCAAAGGCAAGGCCATTCATGTGTTGATTGATACTGGCAGCACACATAATTTTTGGATCTCAATACTGCTAAGAAATTAGGGTGTATCTTGACTGCTATAACATTCTTTAATGTATTTGTAGCTGATAGGAAAAAGATGCCGAGCCATTCTGTGTGTAAGAAGTTGAACTATAAAATACAAGAGGTTATATTTGATTCTGATATGCTAGTCCTGCCTATTAGAGAGTGAAACATGATTCTAGGGATATAATAGTTGATCACCTTGGGTGATATTGGAATTTCAGGAAACTCAAAATGGAGTTTAGTGACTTGGGAAATAATTGTCATTGAGGGGAATGCAACCAGCTGCTGTTAAGATGATTCGACAACACAAAATTAAAAAAGTACTAGCTAAACTAGCTGAACTTTGGAAATTTTTAAGTGTGACCTGCAGGAAGAAGTTGGTGCCAGTTTAATTTCAATGAATGACCACACTGATCAGGTAGAGGATATGCATGAGTTGCAAACTATTATGCAACAATATGAAGATTTATTTGAAGTACCCAAGGAATTACCTCCACTCAGGGACCATGA